AGCCCGTGCTTGTTAATGATAATTGATGGTTTTACCTCCAGTGCCATCATTTTCATCATGAGGCTGCGGTGATGCTCCTTCTTCACCTTCTCCTCAGAAAACTCGGAGAACCTTTGCTTCAGCACCAGACGCATGTTGTAGCGTTTGGCCATGCTGACACAGGTGAGGAGAAGCAGAGCAACAGTAGAGTTTCTGCATTAGAGCGTGTGCTGCTGAGTGAGCAGAGTGATTGCAGAGGTCTTACGTTTGATTCTTGATGGTCATTATTCATTATTGCAGCTGCGCAAACAGGACGCAGGCGCTGTGGCCTCAAAAAAACAGCTTCTGCATTCATTTCATGATCTTACTGTTCAAGAAGAGGAAAGTAGACGAGGAACTCTGGAACGTCCACCACGTCCTCGAGGCTGAAGTGATACTGACACCCGAACAGAGGGTACGAACCTTTGGACTGAAAAGAGACTTTGAAAACCTCGTTACCAAACGACAGAGAGTCCGACGCCTCCAAACGTTTACTGCAAAGGAGAAGAGGAGACACACTGATGTTACAAATCTAGACTTTGTGGGTTTTCTGACGATCTCCAGTGAAGCTGCAGCAGGACAAACACGGTCCAGTTAGAAAACTTTCTTGTTCTTACACAAGTTCGAAGGCGTCTGGCGTGGTTCCGATGAAGTAACCACCAGGTTTCAGACGCTCGCAGGCGTTTCTCAGCATCACGTTCGCCTTCTGTTCGCTCTCAAACGAGTAATGATACACAAACTGACAGCTGCAGATGTCAAACATCAGCTTCGGGTCGTCGAGCTTCTCGGACAGAACCTCCTGCACACGGACGTCAGAGGAGTCACGGTCACATCTCTACAGGCAGGTATGTAAAGAAATCTACGTGTTCTAATTCTAGCTCAGTGCACAGATAAACTGATCTTTGTCGTGGTTCTACCTTGGCACAGTCGGCGGTGATGAACTGAGCGCTGAAGATTTTCTCGTTAACGTGACTTTTCCTCTTCATCTCTTCATAACGACTCTGACATTGCTCCACAGACACTCCAGCTATGTCTGAAAATTAAATGAATTATTGATTCCTTCTGCTTTTTAATGAATACGACACAAAAAGTGCAACATGTTGATTGTGAATGTGATCTGAACTCAGGATCGAGATGACGGACAAAAAAACCTTGTGACGGACGGGGATCAGACCTCTGCGGCGTCTGAGATACTTTCTCCTTCTGAGAAAACTAAATATAAAATCTAACACTCTGTGACATGACCTTTGAAAACAAGGATGATCTCTAATAGCTTCAATTTAAATATGGATGAGAGTTGCAAACCTAGTGCGCCATCTACTGGTAACAGACAGTAGTGTGATTCAGTCAGTCGGGGGAAGGTTCACAGGTGAGAAATAAAACATTGTACTTACGTGTTTCTTGTTGTTCTGGTTTGTTGCCTCATGGTTGATGCACTGATGTGAGTCGCTTTGGATAAAAGTGTCGGCCAAATGAAATGTTATGTAATAAAGATAAACCAATGACCCAGGTAACTTCCTGTCTGTGATGTCACAGTAACGTGTGGAGGAGGTGAAGGAGCAAACAGCGGAGGAATGGGTGAGGATGCACCTGACAACATGTCATCAGGAGGCGTTAGTGATGTGAATCCATAATAACTGATTACCTGCACAGACCAGGTGACTGATTCCTCCCCTCCTCCACTTCAGAAGGTCTCCTCCTTTCCCGCAGCCCAGATCCAACACAGACACCTGCCGAGAGCCCGCCCCTCGCACCTGCTCCAGGATCTCACCTGTCAGTCAAACAATCAACTGTAGTAAGTCCACGTGTTTCTCTCAACGATAAAATAATAACTACGATGGATGATGAGTCAGTGACGACTGATATCATATCTAGTGCTGATGAACTGATTATTGTTTATTGATCAGTTACCGATCAGGACGCTCTTCAGCCAGTTGTTGAAGTTCCTCATGAAGAAGATTCTGCTTTGACTTCTCGCAGCCAGACCCACTTCCTGTAGACGGTTGTAGTGACTGGCCACCTTCAAACTGTGATCCGCCACCTGACGGACCAATACCACACACACACCATCAACACCTTCCACCGACAACCTATCAAATCTCCACCCATCAAGTCAGTGGACGTACCTTCTTCCTGGTGGATGAGGTCTCTTCTTTGTCCTCCTCTTCCTCATGTCTCCTCTTTCTCCCTCTTTCCTCCCCTTCTCCCCTCCCCTTCACAGTTTCTGTTGCCTGAAGATCCATCGTTCTCTGAAAACACACAAACACGACTCAGAGCAACACGGACTGTAAATAAAGATGGATGGCGAGTCTCCGCCTCCTTGCTGTCGTCTCAACAGCTCAGGATCCACAAGACGTTCTTTGATCATTTCCTTTGATTGCTCAGAGAATACGTTTTGGATCTTGATGAAACAAACGTGATATCGTCAAAAGTATCACACTAACTCTACGATAAAGAGGCGTGTCTGTTGAAACGATACAATACAACTCGACAGTTTGGTTCAAGAAGTAAAAATCATTTTGATAATCAACCAGAATATTTCAAGTGACGAGAAAGTGAAACCATGTTTTGTTCTCACAGGTTCGTGTGATATGAAAAAAAAACATGTTTCATTCAAGGGTGTCAAGGAGAACTACACTACCCACAATCCTCAGCGGTAGCAGCGACGCCTCTGATTGGTGGAGCTCGCTGTTAGCTCGCAGATGAAACTACACGACAGCATATGAAGTATTTTACAGGAGCTCAATCTCAACATTCACATCAACGCTGCAGTGAAGTGAATACACAAACATAGTAAAACTTTTACTGCAGCACATCTACTTGGGATTCATTTAGCTGATGACGTAACAAAGGTTCTGGATGCAGGAGCAGTGGAGTATTTTAAACGGGTTGAAGTATAAGTACTTAAATGCAGGTACAGACTGTGAATACTTGTACTCAGTTCTCAGGAGCTGAAGGAGAACTACTACTACCACCATCTACTCTACTGCGTTTCCACTGCTAACGTTAGCAGCTAGCATGCTAACATCTCCTGAAGTCAAATGAGACGCGTGTTTTCGGTCTGAGAAGAACCGGAAGTCACCGTAGGCTCGTGTCACGGGAGAACGCGTCACGTGACCGGAGACAAACGGTGAAAGGATCCGTTACCGGTGGAGTTTTCACGAAAACACAAAACAACAACAATGGACTCACGGTGCAGGACCGGCGCACGCGCTCTGAGCAGCTTCCGGTTATCCTACGTCACATCTCCGTGCCGTTGAGGCTGCGTTCATGACGCGTCGGAAATGTCAAACTCCGACTCGGTTGTTTTCTCTCTCCCACTAAAACAAACAACACGATGTAATGAAGCTACTCACGAAGTCATACAATCACAAACCAACTAGAAACCTCCTGTACGACCTTTCAGAGAGAAATCAAACCAGACATACACATTAGTATACGCTCCAAGAATAGGTAAGCAAGGAAGTTGTATTTGTAAATCATGTTTCACGCACAGGGACATTTATTAACAACTTCAACTTCAACTCAGGAAACACAATGTGAATCTATTTTCAAGCAAAATAAAAGAGATTAAAAAGAGTCGAATAAATAAAGAGAATTCATCTGTATGAAAATGAAAAAATTAGTTGAAATAGAAAAATAATACAAATAAATATAGAGAAATGTGTAAAATAGTACAACAATAAAGTAAAAGACAATGATGTAATGACATTGTGAAATAGTTAAGTTGAAGGGACTTTTGAATAAAAGTGTTTTAACAGGTTTTCTGACAGGATGGTTTTTACAGCGTGAACTAGTAGATGTTCTGAACAGTGTCGTGACAGTAACGGACCAACAGGTGGCGCTGTGAGTCTGTCAATAATGTTTCTCTGTTTGTGTCATGAAGTTTATTCAGATTTAAAAGTTCTTCCTCTAAATAAACAACTGACTGAGAAATACGTCAAAAACAAAATACAGAAACTACAGCTGAAATCAAACCTGAGTTAAAACTATGACAACAAAGTTCTTACAGATGCATCATTGATCAGTTATTATGACTGTGTTAGAGATGAACTCACTCATATCTAACTGGACATATTCATCTGGGAATGTAAAAAACTGATTATAACCAACGATCATTTAGTATTTTCACTATTTCTCCTCAGCAGCTGCTCTGAAAACAAATCTAAAACCCTGCAAATGCTAACTAGCTTAGCATATCTCAGTAGCAGTTTTATGAACATGGTTTATATGAACATTAAAACCTGGAGCTGGATTCACACTGGATCCTGATGTTTTCACTGACACGTGTCAATCACTGTCTGGAGCTTCACACACCTGATGACAGTCAACGCAGCAGTGACGTCTGACGACACATTCAAAACGTACAGAAATGTGTTATTCTGAGGATAATTTGTGTTTATTAAAGTGAATATTAACAAAACTTAACTCTGACACTGATTCAAGTTCTTTCTTTAACTTTGCAACTGGAGAGTGAATTAAAGGAACAATCCGTGTTCCAAATACAAACTGTAAATAAAGATAGAAAACATGTCTCCACTTCCTCCCATTATCCAGAAATGAAGCCACAATATCCAGGAAAGGAACCATCTCACAGGAAACACCTGAACAAACATCAGTGTGGTGAGAACTACCTGAAATGAAAGAAATGGTAAAGCTGTGCCTCGCTGCTGTGTCACCTTCAGCCTTTAAATGTTTCTTCAGAAGGATGCAGCATCTGAACCGAGACACAGTTTCTGTCTCATCTGGGTTGTTCTGTTTTTTTAATGAATCCTAAAGTAAAGTGTTAACTCTAAAACACAGCTGATCTGAAGAGACGACAGCGTCTGTATGATCCACCTGCTCTCCTTCACACCGACTCATCAGCGTCACCATGTGAGGGTTCAGGTTCATGCTGGTGTTTGGAAACCAAGATGAATTGATGCAGACAGACGCAGCGCGCTTTAGTTTCATATCAGCTGATCCTGGATCAGTTTCATACAATGATCCTGTCTGGTATGTCTGTAATTCCTCCTGCTGATGGCGATCTGAGAGATGAGACTTATTACTGTGTTGGCAGACGCTCAGGCTCGCCACCGTCCAGCCGAACCCTCGCAGTCTAGACTTATCTTCAGTTAACCTCGCAGGAATCCAGAAAAACAATACCAGTCTGAAGTCTTCACTTTAATGAAAAGAAAACACCTCAGACGTCGCGTTCCTTGTAAGATCATCATGTCGGTTCTCCGCCGTGGTTGAAGTAGACTTCTACACGAGAAAGCCCATCGTTGTGAGGTCGACTCTCTCTGAATGATTCGGCCCCTGAATCTGGCAGCAGCTCAAGTGTTTGTGAAGTCCATGGACTGACCTCACAAACTAGGTGGGTCCAAGCTCAGGGGCCTCATTCCTCACAGGCGTTGCCTTCGTAGACTGCAAAGGGTGAGAAAGCTGAGCAGATTAGAGGTCAGGTCAACAGACAACAGTTCGCGTCATCTTTTCTGACATTGCACTATTAGCTACTTCGCTTGGTCTCCACCACCCACATATAGCTAGTTCGTTAGCTTGGATTGGTTGAATCCTTCGTCGCTCAGGGATGGAAGGATTCATTTGTCTTTTGAAGAAACCTTGAGAAGGGACCGACTAGACGGACTAGCCATGGAATCTGTCTTCAAAAGCAGCTTCTGGATTTGGAACACAGCTAATGTCTTTACTTCCTGTATGTCCTGTATGCACTTCCTATGACCTACGCTCACAGAACATTTTTAAAACTTGTTTTAAGCCAACATTGTGTTCAGAGACGTTATTTTAGCGTCGTCCTCTGCTCCAGGTCCATTCTCCCTCCTGTGGGACGCCCTCGTGGAGACAGAAGGATGAAGGGATGAAAGGATGGATGGACTGATTAATGGATGGAAGCTCTATAAACATGTAAATCTGACCTTACCGTGTTTCAAAGCTTCGGCTGAATGAAGCAGCGCCGCCTGAAAAAGCTTCTTCAACCATTCAACCGACTCCGTTTACACAGAAAGACGTTTTCAGACAGAAGAGGCTTTGATACTCAAATACCACACAACCCCCCCAATACGCCTCCAATCCCCCCATTGCCCCCCAGCATTATCACTGTGTGGGTGTGTGTATGTGTGTGTGTGGGGGGGATCTCCAGGGACAGAAACCATTCCACCTGCGTTTATTGCAAAAGTGCACACACACACACACACACACACACACACACACACACACAC